TCCTCCTGACGTTCTAGTTCATCAAGTCGAGCCCACAGCTCCTCCTCTGACAGCACCCCTGTCGTTCTCTCTTCATCGCCTTCTTTCTTCTTGTCACCTTCGAGCTCCAACAAATACTCCTGCTTAGGTTTAGAGTTCCCTTTGTGGGCCAAACGATGTTTTCCTGTGAAAGCACAATAGGGGGTAAATGATCAACAGAAGATAAAACAACCCGATAACACACAAGTTAATCTGAAAAACTAGACCAGACTAACCTTTGGTAACTTCTTCCTCATTTATAACTTCTTCTCTAATGTCTACAAAATCTCCAGTATCCTGTTAAAAAAGAAGAAGACTGGACGTGATTGTTTCTTCCAGAGGAGAAAACCTCAGAATAAGGTTTCCATATAATGTCACACAGTAACGAGGTCATGGTTAGGACACTTACACCAGTCAATTTTTCAAGATCATCTGTAAAGTCGGCTCTGTTCTGAAAGTTCTTCATCACTTTCTGTAAGTCATCTAGCGTATTTTTGACATCTGGAAAAATAACATATCAGGTCAAGTTGTATGGATCATTCAAAATTCGTCAATGGAAAATCTTAAAGGGGCCATAAGATGCGATTTCAAGTTTTCCTTTCTCTTTGGAGTGTTACAAGCTGATTGTGCATATATAAGATCCCTGAAGTTGCAAAGACTAAAGTCTCAAAACCAAAAAGATATTCTTTATCAAAGTTAAGACTCTGCCACACCCCCCTAAAACGGCTCGTTCTAACACGCCCCCACATATCTACCTCACTATGTGGAAATATTTGCATAATGCCGCCCAAATGTTCACGCAAAGAAAGAAGGCATGGTTTCAGTAACCGCGGTTAGTGTTGAAGCAGCCATGTCAGGGAGACGCTGTGTGTTTCTAGGCGAAAGCAAAAGCACTTTATTTGGCCTTCCGAAAGTAGATGCATTTAGGAATCTTTAAGATTATTGCAATCTGGCGCTTCTGAATCAGCTACTGTTTTGTTATTAGTTTAAGTATTTGCTATTGACTGTTCAAATGCGGAGTTTTGCGCATCGTGTGTGTGCGCGAGCGAGCGAGAGAGAGGGGGGGAGGGGTCACATCACAGTGGAGTCAGCTGCCTTAACTGTGGCTTGTGTACTGCAAACACATACCAGCTTCATCACTGTGTCTGTCACGCGACTCTGTTCCCCTTTCGGGCTCTGTCTTTACATTTATTTTGAAAGATGAAGCTCGCGATTATGGTAAGGGGCATTACATTTCCGACGAGTGCTTGCGGTGTTCGGCCAATCACAATACACTGGGTCAGCTGGCCAATCAGAGCAGACTGCGCTTGTCGGAAGGAGGGACTTTGTAGAAAACGACGTGTTTGAGAGAGGCGGGGCATAGAGGACCTACAATAATGTACAGTATTTGAAAAATAATGTGTTTTTTGAACATTAAAGCATGTCAACATATTCGGTTACACCAAATACACAAAATAATGATCTTTAAAAAAAGCATCTTATGACCCCTTTAATAGAATAAAAATGAACTCACGTTTCTTTCTGTGTTCCACAAGAGCATCAGCTTGTTTGGCAGAACACTTTGCAAACCAGTTATCCCCGAGGAGCACCGTTAACTCATTAGTGTGAACTAGCTTTCCCGGCATGAAAGCCAAGGGACCAAATGGTACCTATCATATTAAAAAAAACATCCAAACAATCAGGGCTTAAAGTAACAGTGACACTTTCAATTTCTTCATTTTCAAATCTGACAAGTAAAGGCCTGCTCACACCAAAAATTATAACTATAATGGTACCAAATCAACATGCATTATAAGCGCACACTGCAATTATGCTGCCTGTCACTTTAAATGCTCAAGCTCTGATTGGCTGTTAATGTTTTTATTGTTCATCAGCTAGAAACAATTGCTCAAAGTGATTCCAACGATATCGTTCCTCTATGTCACTATCGTTATAGTCGTGGTGTGAACTTTCCTATTCTCATAGAATAACAATGATTATTAAAACTTTATGGTTATAGTTATCATCCTTGATGTAAACAGGTCTTAAAACAGGCTAAAATGGTGTGAATAAAACTCTGATGATAAGTCAATATTTTGTTGCGCAGGAATAGAAAATGTTTGTGTATCTAGATGTGAAGATTAATTTGGGTGCGTCAGTAATTGAAAAGTGCCACCATACCATAATATCATAAGACAACTTGTCAGGCAAAGTCCTGAGGCGGTCTTGAAGAGATTCATAGTCATTTTCCACTTTTTTCCTGACAGTCAGAGAGAAAAATTAATCACTTAAAAGGAAATTGTTGGTTTGTTGACATACAAGTTCTATTTTTGTTCTACCTACTGACAATTTTTTTTAAATAGGAAAAGGAATTTAACAAAAGCCTGTCAAATCTGGTCATAACCATCAACATCTATACAGTGATTCACAATAGCATTTCCATTCCAAAAGTAAACCTTCAACAACCAATAAATAACCAATGACAAGCTAACATGCATCAATGAATAGTCACAGCCTGAGAAACACTGACATGATACATTGATAATAACGTTATGCATGTCTGAAACGAGACATGTTAAATTGCACGAGGACACCCACCAGTGCTCAATTTGACTTCTGCAATCTTTCACCACCTGTTGTGGAAACAGACACAATTTGTCATTTCATAACCGCTGAGATTCCCAAAATGCCACAGACAACCAGTGACAATCGCTGCTAAATTATCTATATTAATCTGGTAATGTGAATTGGCCATTATAGAGAGAATGAACAATAGTCCTGAAATTTTTTCAAGAGATATTGTGACAAGGTACCCTGTAATGCATGTTTATGGCAATGTCTATGTCAATAAGAGTCTGTACTAGACTAAGCTAATAAGTCCTATTGCACAAAATGAAACCCTTTTTAGGTACATTAGGATTATTTGCACTTATTCATTTTATAATAATTGCCCTATTATTATACATTATATACCCGTGAGGTTTTTTTTGGAACTCCCTTTTCTCTCTCCCTCTCACGGCCATTATTAAAAAAATTTTTTTGTAATTACAGCAATAAGAAAGAAATTGTTTTGGCATTATGTCAATAAACATTTAAAGGTTAATGTACTTGTATGTCATGAAAATGTCAAAGTTCAAATGATCTTAATGCTCCTAAAAATAAGCTTAATTTTCTTTATCCTTACTCTTTCTTCATGCAAAATATCTATAGAAATAGAACTTCTTTCATATTGAGGTGCAACAGGAGCTGGATATGTCCTTTATGAGATTCACCCACCAATAAAACAATATAAAGCATGTCTAACAGCATGAGCAGACATGCATTATGTGTTTTTTCTTTTTCTCTCTCTACTAAAAGACGTGTTGCTGAGGGCAGTGCAACACAGAACTTTCCAGATCTTCTAAATAAAAAAATCTTCCAGTCTTGTTGATTTTAAATGAAGCAGCACAAATGTAGCTTTCATATGTGGCCAGCTGAGGTTGATCCTCCAATGTCAACACATAGGTTAAAAGACACTATGCTTGTTTGCCTTTCACTTACTCATATCACTCAAAATACCATGCAAATATAAATAAGTCAGTAACCCTTACCTTCACAGAGTAATTTCACAGCATGTAAACTACCTACTGTAACAACAGTACGGTAAGCTTTTGCTTGCTGTATGCATTCTGGCAGCGTGGACAACATGTGCTGGAACAAAGATTGTTTTCTAGCTACTATACATGAATAATTTACTGTTATAATTACTGAGATACATTGCCTATAAATATGTACGTGCATTTTATTGCAAAGTATCAGAAACACACATACACCAAAGCAAAATTACTGTTTGCAACCAGCTAGCCAACAGCAACACGTGATACACAAAGAACTTTCCAGAGAACGAGACGCGTAATTCTGCGACTATCCTGCAAAAACAACATAAACGATAAATCGATGCTGATGATTGATCACGTGCATGGACACTATAGGCTTTGATATCTGCAGGAATGCATTGGTGGTATATGAAATAAACGTTACTCCTGTCCTGACCTTTCTGTGCTCCTCTTTTAACCTCTCAACGCCTTGGGGCAGATCTTTACTCCGTTTGACTTTTCCAGCTGCAGCCATTTGGTCGTGCACGGATGCCATCCACAATAAAACAAGGCTTTTTTTTGTTTAAATATCCAAACACTGAATGCTCAGGGGTTTGAAGTCCTATAGAAATGTTTATGAATGCAATTGGACGTGTTGCACTCAATCTGTCGCCTCGTAGTCATCAATGAAGCAGAACAAGTGGTCCAGTATATCGAGATTGAGACCATTTCACACGTGCATGGTACGATGTCGAAGTTACCCCAAAATGTCCTCTTGTTTACAGTCCACCGATGGCCTGTTTCCCCTGCGCCATGTTCAGCTAATCACGGATGTAGTACGTACTCTAGATATCTCTCCCTACTACAACGATGCAAACACGTGACCACCTCCTATTTAATTTCACTTTCATTTACGAATAACAAATACACATTTTTAAGAGAAAATACATTTCCTAAACCATACATAGACTGAAAATAACTGTCAGCATAGAATTGTATAAATAAGACAACGCCTACTGTTATCCTCCTGCCATAATGAAACATGAGTAATTAGCGTTACTTGTGAGGAAAAAATATTTTCATATAGTATCCATAAAAGGTTCTGTTAATAGCAATAGTTGTTTAATCGAAAACGTAGATCGTTATGCCTTTATATGACCGGAGGAGTGTCCTTTTAACGTACGTGTAAACAATCCTCACGCTGACTAGATCACGTGACTTAGAACGAAACAGGAAGTTGTAAACGTTGAGGAAAAATGTAACTAAAATAAAAGATTTTTTGTCAGTTTTGTTTAAGTTTGAACCGTTTCAAGATATGAATGGTCTAGGTGTCTCATCTCAGCTGCTTTATAATATACTATATAAATAATTATATAATTCCACAATTTTATTTTCACCCGGATACTTTTATTTTAAAGAAAAGACAAACTGTCGTCGGTGTCGGTAACGTTTTCCGGAATGGTCTGTCCTCAGTGAAATGCTTCTCACTGCTTAAAGACATTTGCACGTGAAATTCGAATTATTTATTAACATAAGGAATTATTAGTGTGCTGGTGAGTACTGACACTTGATCATAAAAGTGACTGAGTACTTTTTTGTGTGTTAAAATCATTGTTTTGTCATGTCATTGGAAAAATGTTAATATCAATAAATTTAGAGCTAACATTTGATCGTTTATTTCACTCCTTCTATCTAGCTACTTTAAAAAAAAAATGCATTACTGCTTATTTATGTATTTGTACATTTAAATGTGCATTCAGCTTAAGCCAAAAGAAAACTGGACTTATTTACTAGTTGGCATGCATGTTTATTGCATTATGTGAGGAAAAAATATTTTCATATAGTATCCATAAAAGGTTCTGTTAATAGCAATAGTTGTTTAATCGAAAACGTAGATCGTTATGCCTTTATATGACCGGAGGAGTGTCCTTTTAACGTACGTGTAAACAATCCTCACGCTGACTAGATCACGTGACTTAGAACGAAACAGGAAGTTGTAAACGTTGAGGAAAAATGTAACTAAAATAAAAGATTTTTTGTCAGTTTTGTTTAAGTTTGAACCGTTTCAAGATATGAATGGTCTAGGTGTCTCATCTCAGCTGCTTTATAATATACTATATAAATAATTATATAATTCCACAATTTTATTTTCACCCGGATACTTTTATTTTAAAGAAAAGACAAACTGTCGTCGGTGTCGGTAACGTTTTCCGGAATGGTCTGTCCTCAGTGAAATGCTTCTCACTGCTTAAAGACATTTGCACGTGAAATTCGAATTATTTATTAACATAAGGAATTATTAGTGTGCTGGTGAGTACTGACCCTTGATCATAAAAGTGACTGAGTACTTTTTTGTGTGTTAAAATCATTGTTTTGTCATGTCATTGGAAAAATGTTAATATCAATAAATTTAGAGCTAACATTTGATCGTTTATTTCACTCCTTCTATCTAGCTACTTTTAAAAAAAATGCATTACTGCTTATTTATGTATTTGTACATTTAAATGTGCATTCAGCTTAAGCCAAAAGAAAACTGGACTTATTCACTAGTTGGCATGCATGTTTATTGCATTAATTATTTTGTATTTGGTGACATTTTTTCCCCCCAGGTGACGAGAGAAGCTTTTCAGTCAGTCATGTTCAGGCACTGCAGGACATTTTCACATTGTGTCTTAAAATGTCAGACAAATTATGTACTTTCAAAACCAGTTAGGATTATTTTGCCCTGGTCCCCATTCACGTGTACCGCATCCCCACGTACTCATTCTACCAACATCAAGATGCGCTCCTACTTACAGTACATGAAAAGGAAAGTCAAAGGTGCACCAGCTCCTCCATACAATCATGTGTGTCAGGTTGGAGATCCTGTGCTACGTTCACAGGCTGCGGCGGTGGAACCCGGAGCCATTCAGGACCCAGAAGTGCAGAAGGTCATAAAGACCCTAGTCAAGGTGATGAGGAAGCTTGAGTGTGTCGGCCTGAGCGCACCCCAGATTGGTGTTCCTCTACAAATACTAGCCTTGGAGTATCCAAAGAAAATGCTGGAGGACAGCTCAATCGCTTCTATTGAAGCTCGGGGTCTGGTGGCAGTGCCTCTTATGATTTTTGTAAACCCACAGTTACGTGTACTAGATGGACGCACTGTCATCTTTCAAGAGGCCTGTGAGAGCATCTGTGGGTTTTCAGCAACTGTTCCACGCTACGTGTCTGTAGAAGTCTCAGGTAAAAGTGCAATAAAATGTCAAACCCCAAAAAACGAATTAATAAAATAAGATGACTCAACATGTATTAAGAAACCCATACCTTGACTTAAAACCATTGCGGATTTACTTCCTGATTTTCTTAAAGCATCAAATCAAAACAAATGTTTTTCTTCTTTGCAAAGGTCTTAATGAGAAAGCGGAGCCCGTCAGCTGGCAAGCGAGTGGCTGGCCAGCCAGAATACTGCAGCATGAAATGGATCATCTTAATGGAGTGTTATATATCGATCGCATGGACAGTAAAACCTTCATCAATGTAAAATGGGAAGAGTATAATGAATAAAGCTTTGAGAACTACATTACCTTACCTTTGGATCTCAGAGAAAATGGATGTTCTTGTCACTCCTGTGTTATCTAAAACAAGCATTTAATCACATTTCACACGCAGAAATGATTTCTCAAATTGGGCATTTACAAGCAAGCTAGATTAGACTTAGCCTTTGCAGATAGCATATGGAAATAACAACTTCATCTGCAATAGTAGGACATTTTTTGTAATATGGTGACTGTATGTCCTCTTTTTTCTAAACTGTTTAAACTGTCCACGTTTTGGATTTGTTTTCCTATTGTTTTCATACTTTCTGATGGTAACGATTGAAAAGTATTCTGACCATTAGTGTGCAGGCATTGTACATAATTGACCAATCATGGCACGCAAACAGTCAAATCAATGCAAATACATGTACCTGCATACGTGTACTGTAGAGAGCACATCAATAAGAGAAGAAAGCCTAAACCTGGACATTTTAGGCAGTTTAGAAGGACATATAAATATGAGAGTACATATGGTCACTATATGTAATAGTAATATTTAGAATTTCATTTAAGCACAAGCAGAGTTCTCCTTTAGATCCTTTATTTTTATATGAATTCCAATAAAAAAATCATAATACCAGTACATTATATTTAATAATTATAGGGCAGTATATCACTCTAAACCACAGTGATTGGTTGGAGTTGTTGCTAAGTCCCAAAGCCATAATTTTCCAGAACACATCATACCAATAACTGAATACATCAAATATTGTAGTGGCCATCACACAATCTCACCAATAACAGACAGTTTCAAGCCATGTTACTGTATGACAGGGGTGTCCAACCCTGCTCCTGGTGAGCTACCATCCTGCATATTTCAGCTCTAACCCCAATCAAACACACCTGAACCAGCTAATCAAGGTGTTCAGGGTTGCTTGATAATTACAGACAGGTGTGCTGGAGCAGGGTTGGAACTAAAGTCTGCAGGACAGTAGCTCTCCAGGAGCAGGATTGGACACCCCTGCTGTATGACATATAGATTAGTAAGAGATAGTCAACTCAAGTGAACTTTGTTACTTTCTTGTAATATTTGGCTCTTAATATCATATAAAGACATTGCTGATATCAAAAGTGTAACAGATTGTCATCTATTACCCAGTATTTCAGACTTATTGTGCAATTAGCTAAATAATAACAGGCTTCATTTGGAGATTAAAAACAGTGTCTTCAACCAGACATGGTCAACACTGACAGTTGTTTTTATACAGAGGAAGGTCTGAGGAAAGCCTTTCCACACCTACACATCAAGGTATATTTATAGCAACACAGAGTGCAATACACGTCACCACAATACCTGCATATCTGCAAGGGGCTAAGGTCAAGACTGAAGCAAGTGACGCAGTATGTTTTAACATTTTGTATGTTGTGTTTTTGAGAGCAGTGTTGTTGATCAGGACACCCAGAGAAATGAAAGACTTTACAAGTGAGGCATACAGTTTCAGGCAATGTTTGGTCACCCTTCCAGCAATAATCGTGATATGGTATTGGTTTTTCTGAATCACCTGTTTCCTGGGAGTACTGCTTATGATGTGCAGCAGAAAGACATTTGTGCCTCTTTTGGGAATTCGCTTGTTCTCCTTGAGGGAGTTTTAATTTTCCTGTTGGTTGCACGTTGTGTTGTTTTAAATTGCACATTTGAATATTATTACAGTTGTGGTCATGGATCAACTGGCACTCATAGCACACCAAAAATGAATCAGAAGTAGGACCATCCATACAATAATGTGTTTTCAGGGAATCTTTTGATTTTTCCTTGGCCAATCTAATCTGGTCTTGTGTTGAATAAAGCTCTTCAGCTTTGTCTGAGCATAGTGCTAAAGTATGTCCTTTCATTTTGCACTCTCTATAACGAGAACATGATGAACTGTGCATGTCTTTGCAGTTCTCACACTCATAAATGTATAACTGATCTGGAGTGATACACTTGCACAACAATTTTGCTGCTGCTTGTCTCTGGGCATCACCTTCAATTTGATTTTCAGCAAAGCTTTCCATTGGACCTGGATTGATGAGTGATTTTCCCTGCCTTGCGTCCTCATTATTCACCATGTTTGACTGTGAGGGCTCTCTCTGTAAAATCTTACTTAAAGGCTTCTCTTTTGATTGCATATAAGAAGAGTCAGGTGGCGAATCAGAAATGGACATCATGTGAGAAGCATCTGCCTGCTCTGTGTACAGATCCAGCTCAGCGTCCATGCCACCAGTCAGGATGGCGTCTGAAACACTAGCAGCATCTGACTTTCTCATGGTGTTCTCTAATGCTATCTGAAGACTGTGGCCTATCTGCCTCTCCTTGACTAGCTGTAGAACCCACTCCACACCTTTGTCCACAGAGCCCAAAGCCAAAAGTAGCAGCTGGCATTCCATCCGAGCAATGAAGAAGCCACATGCAAGACTGAGTAAAAAATCAGTTTCAGGAACTAGTTTGGAGTTCAGCGCCAACTCTTCTTCTTCATTAGGACTTGAAGCTTGGTATCCAAGCAAACCAAACAGCTCTTTAGCCTGCTGAAGCGTCAGTGCAGGTTTGATCAAATGAGTGAACATACCTGAAAACATCTGGTGAGGAGAAAGAGACTATTTTAAGGTAGCGAAAACAAACAAAATGTCATTCAAACTAATAGAAATCTGTAGGTGGAGCACCAGTATTTCCACATACCTTCACCAGTCTGTACTCTCTTCTCCAGGGGTAGACGTAGAGGTTTAATGCCGCGAGCTCCAACACTTCAAAGGCCTTGGAAACTTTCTCAAGCCCCATTTGGCCAGTTTTAGAGGGAAATGCATGGAGAGATTTTTCCATCACTGCCAGTGAATCTAATCCATGTAGATTGTGCATCTTCTGGGCATTGCCCTTGTGAAGGAGCCTCTCAACTTCCTTACAAAAATCCTCATCCCTGCAGATCAAACTTCGATCCCCCTTCTCAATTCGTCTCTCCAAGTTAGTCTGGTACCTATTGATGAGACCATCCGCTGTCTTTTTATGAGCAGAATTCATCCTAGTAGAAACAATATTGTAAGTGTATTTATTGACAAACAAATTATAATCATTAACCATGACAATAATCACAAGAGATATACATAAACAAGCATGTTGCTATTTTTTTGCATGTCATTAACGTAACTAAAAACTATATGAAAATGTCATCTAGAGATGATATATCCATATCAGATTCAATTCAATCTGACTAGTAATTGAATATATGTGGAAATTTAGACTATTACAAACCATCTATAATGCTACTTATAAATCAACAAAGTGAAAGTGATCTTCCAAGATCGAAAGCACAGTTCCGTCAGATTAGCTCAAACCACCGTCTTACAAAATTCTGTAGTTATTACATATATTTGATTAAATATAATATTTAATGTACAGCACATTGTTGAACAATAAATAACGCTAAACGTTTAAAGACTGTGTATCTTGTGCCTTTCCCAAGCAAAACCAACGCCACTGAAATATTTTCCCAACTGACTCATTACATTTAAATCAGCAAAGCTCTTGACACACTTACGCCGTTCACTTCAGACTGCAACAAATGAACTAAATACACGAAATCTGTTCCCTGATCAACGTTCAGCGTCCAACACAAACTGCTTTGAAGAACGTCGCTGTTTCCCAGTGGAGAAACTTTTTTGACATCACTTCCGTATTCGGCTCACGTGAATTTTTTTTAGGGTGGCAATGTCGTCAAACTCTATAAACTAACAAGTAAATGAAAAAAGTAATCCCAGTGGAGAAACTTTTTTGACATCACTTCCGTATTCGGCTCACGTGAATTTTTTTAGGGTGGCAATGTCGTCAAACTCTATAAACTAACAAGTAAATGAAAAAAGTACATATAAGAGTATAAAAATAAATAAAATAAAATCGGTAAAAAATAGTTTCATATATGAAAAGTATTCCATATCAATTTTGAGATCACTATTCCTTATCCCAAGTCTAATAAACAGAGATTTCTCTCATTTTGTGAAAAATATCATTTATACAAATGTATTCGTAGTTTATACCACTCTCAATGTGCAGTTTGCAATGATTACTCAATATAGTGTATATGCCAGTGATAGTTCACAAGAGGGCGCTGTAATATATGATAGAAACTGTTGGTAATATCAGTTCTGACCATAGACTGTATAAAAACAGGTTCTGACCCTGGTATCAAACTTAATTATTAGAACCATTTCTACTTGCAAGATGATATTACTGTTAGTTATTACAGTATAAGGATTTTTTTTCAGTTCAACATTGATCATTTTCCTGTAAAATAGTTTCTTTGAAACTGTAATTGATTTGTGATAAAGAATAAAGGAATGCATAATTAGGTGGGCGTGTCATTTTGAAAGGGGCGTGGCGTTGTTGCTGCGGTTCGATTTAAAGATCTTGAGCAGCAGGAGACATGAAGCCCATAAAGCATAATCAATCTCAGACGTGTGCACTGCTGCAGCGGTTGTGTGCGCGATGTCAAACGGGGACAGGGTGGTTTTAGCGCTCGGTGGAGCAGGAACTGTCGGCTCCGGGATAGTGAAAGCTCTCCTGGACAGAGGTAAGAGCATATTAAGTATTTACACTTAATATATATAATAGTAAGCATTGTTTTTTATTTAAAGAATCTAAAATAAAAACAGTAACTAATTATTATTATTATTATTAAGCAAATTAGAAAATGCCCTCAACTGCCCAGTTCTGATTTTTCTAAACATATTGCTTACAATTTTATTTATAAGTTTAAAATTAGATTCAGAGCAGTTATGATTAGGAAAGCAATTATATTGCCACCACTATTAGATTTTTAGTTTAAATTCAGATCTCAATTTTGATTCCGTAATTTAATTCTAAATCGATTCAACTTTTTCTTTCTTTAACTTTAAATGAAAAAAATACATTTCTTTGCATAAATGTATTTTTTTTTTTAAATTCTGCATTGCATGTGTGGTAATTATGCAAACACATATTTAGGTTTCAAGGTTGCGGTGATCTCCAGAGACAGCAGCAAGTTGGAAAAACTCAAGGGGTTTGTTTCACCTAGCACAAAAAGTAACCTGACCACTTTAGTGGGGAATGTTGGTATGTATCTTTTGCATCTTTTTTTTTTTTAATCTTTTATCTTTGCAACTCTAGACATTTTGCGGTCTCATTGATTTTGGATTGTTTGTGACTGATGAAATATTCTCCTAATCTATCAGGCTCAGAAGAAGGGGTAGAGGAGGTGAAACAGGCCTTGCTCAAGTCTGTGGGTAAGATCACAGATGTGGTGTCCTCTCTGGGCTTCAGCTGGTGGCAGGGAGGTCCACCTCACACCCAACCCCTCAAAGAACTGCACTGGGTGAGAGAGCAGCTTTTACCCTTGCAACCCCTCATTGATCCCTTTCAGCGATTCTTTATACTTGCTTATATGACGCACAACATTTCACCATCGCCATTTTGCGTTAGAACTCAGCTTTCATCCTTGGGTCAAATGATCCATCATCATTTGATTGCTCAAAACTCTTTGTTTCTGATCAACAGGTTATTGAGACTCTGCTTTTCAGCACCTTTGTGTCTTGGAAAGCGTTCTTTCCCCTGGTGAGAGATGATCCTAACTGCACCTACACGTTCATCACAGGTACATCATTATTTGCCCTCCAAAACATATATTTGGTTAAAGTTATGTAGCTATATGTGGAACATAATTGTGAGTGCAGTGTATAAATGAGCATTAAAAAAACTACTCGAGTCCACATTAATCACTCGGCAAATTCAGAACACAAATCAATAAAACAAAATCAATGGTCAGATAGGTGGTAACATTTTTAGGAACGTGCCCTCCAAAACATATATTTGGTTAAAGTTATGTAGCTATATG